TGGTTAGTGTCAGTTGACTTCATGCCACAAAAATTGGTGAATGTCACCTGCTTACACATATTTTTCTTTACCCTCACCCATACCCATTTGGGGTATTATATTTCAGATTTTTTATTGATTACTTTTGTAACTTTCAATTATTTACATAAGTCCTATTTCTTTATGTCTGTCAAACATTAGACAAATCTTCTCTCCCCACTATAAGAGGAAATTAGCACTTCCATTCTTCTTTCCAGTTCCCCTATAACCAACCCCCAACTATCATCAGCTGTGTTATTACTTTTATATTGTCAGGATATGTCAGATTTATATTCTGTCTGGCAATTCTATTTGTATCTTCTCTCTTTTATAGGTTGATTCTGAAAATGGAAAATCAATAAATAATTTTTATAATGTTATGATTATATAAATATTCTCTGCAGTACCATATTGTATGATTGAACCTATAGAGAAGATCAAATCTTAATGTGGCAAAGTTTGTGTTGTTCAAAAAAAGAAACCATTCTAAGTATAAAACCCAAGTGGATTTTAATTTTAAAAAATCCTATCCTTTTGTCAAAATCATGCCACTGTTTTTTGGTCAACAAACTTTTCTATATCTGTTTGTTTCTCCTGTTATTTCTTTTTTTTTTTTTTTTTTTTTGAGACGGAGTTTTGCTCTTGTTACCCAGGCTGGAGTGCAATGGCGCAATCTCGGCTCACCACAACCTCCGCCTCCTGGGCTCAGGCAATTCTCCTGCCTCCAGCCTCCTGAGTAGCTGGGATTACAGGCACGTGCCACCATGCCCAGCTAATGTTTTGTATTTTTAGTAGAGACGGGGTTTCACCATGTTGACCAGGATGGTCTCGATCTCCTGACCTCGTGATCCACCCGCCTCGGCCTCCCAAAGTGCTGGGATTACAGGCTTGAGCCACCGCGCCCGGCCTCTCTTGTTATTTCTAATTCTTTTTCTTTTCTTTTCTTATTTAGTTTGGTAATTTTATTTTATAATTGCATAAGCTGTAAATGTAGCTGTAAGCTTAGCATTTTATATCTATATCTATATCTATCTATCTATCTATATATATAATTGCATTTTAGGTTCTGGGGTACGTGTAAAGAACATGCAGTATTGTTGCATAGGTACATACATGGCAATGTGATTTGCTGCCTCCATCCCCCTCACCTATATCTGGCATTTCTCCCCATGTTATCCCTCCCCAACTCCCTACCTTCCACTGTCCCTCCCCTAGTCCCCCCGCAACGGACCTCAGTGTGTGATGCTCCCCTCCCTGTATCCATGTGTTCTCATTATTCAACACCTGCCTGTGAGTGAGAACACACGGTGCTTGATTCTCTGTTCCTGTGTCAGTTTGCTGAGAATGATGGTTTCCAGGTTCATCCACATCCCTACAAAGGACACGAACTCATCATTTTTTATGGCTGCATAGTATTCCATGGTGTATATGTGCCACATTTTCCCTGTTCAGTGTATCATCAATGGGCATTTGGGTTGGTTCCAAGTCTTTGCTATTGTAAACAGTGCTGCAGTGAACATACATGTGCATGTGTCCTTATAGTAGAACGATTTAGAATCCTTTGGATATATACCCAGTAATGGGATTGCTGGGTCAAATGGAATTTCTATTTCTAGGTCCTTGAGGAATCACCACACTGTCTTCCACAATGGTTGAACTAGTTTACACTCCTACCAACAATGTAAAAGTGTTCCTATTTTTCCACATTCTCTCCAGGATCTGTTGTCTCCAGATTTTTTAATGATCACCATTCTAACTGGTGTGAGATGGTATCTCAATGTAGTTTTGATTTGCATTTCTCTAAAGACCAGTGATGATGAGCATTTTTTCATATGTTTGTTGGCCTCATATATATCTTCTTTTGAAAAGTGTCTGTTGATATCCTTTGCCCACTTTTGAATGGGTTTGTTTTTTTTCTTGTAAATCTGTTTTAGTTCTTTGTAGATTTTGGATATAACTCCTTTGTCAGATGGGTAGATTGCAAAATTTTTTCCCATTCTGTTGGTTGCTGGTTCACTCTAATGATTGTTTTGCTGTGCAGAAGCTCTGGAGTTTAATTGGATCCCATTTGTCTATTTTGGCTTTTGTTACCAATGCTTTTGCTGTTTTAGTCATAAAGTCCTTGCCTATGCCTATGACCTGAATGATTTTGTCTAGGTTTTCTTCTAAGGTTTTTATGGTGTTAGGTCTTATGTTTAAGTCTTTAATCCATCTAGAGCTAATTTTAGTGTAAGGTGTCTGGAAGGGCTCCAGTTTCTGCTTTCTGCACATGGCTAGCCAGTTTTCCCAACACCATTTATTAAACAGGGAATCCTTTCCCCATTGCTTGTTTTTGTGAGGTTTGTCAAAGATCGGATGGTTGTAGATGTGTGGCATAGACCCTGAGGCCTCTGTTCTGCTCCATTGGTCTATATCTCTGTTTTGGTGCCAGTACCATGCTCTTTTGATTACTGTAGCCTTGTAGTATGGTTTGAAGTCAGGTAGTGTGATGCCTCCAGCTTTGTTCTTTCTGCTTAGAATTGACTTGGCTATGCAGGCTCTCTTTTGGTTCCATATGAAGTTTAAGATGGTTTTTTCTAGTTCTGTGAAGAAGGTTATTGGTAGCTTGATGGGAATAGCGTTGAGTTTGTAAATTACTTTGGGCAGTATGGCCATTTTCACTATATTGATTCTTCCCAACCATGAGCATGGAATGTTTCTCCATCTGTTTGTGTCCTCTCTTATTTCCTTGAGCAGTGGTTTGTAGTTCTCTGTGAAGAGGTCCTTTACATTCTTTGTTAGTTGTTTTCCTAGGCATTTAATTCTCTTTGTAGCAATTGTGAATGGCAGTTTGTTCTTGATTTCACTCTCTTTAAGTCTATTATTGATGTATAGGAAAGCTTGGGATTTTTGCCATTGATTTTGTATCCTGAGATTTTGCTGAAGTTGCTTATCTGTTTCGGGAGATTTTGGGCAGAGATAATAGGGTCTTCTAAATATACAATCATGTCATCTGCAAATAGAGACAATTTGACTTCCTCCTTTCCTAATTATATACCCTTTATTTCCTTTTCTTCCTTGATTGCTCTGGCTAGAAATTCCAATAATATATTGAATAGGAGTGGTGAGAGAAGGCATTCTTGTCTAGTGCCAGATTTCAAAGAGAATCCTTCCAGTTTTTGCCTATTCAGTATGATATTGATTGTGGGTTAGTTGTAAATAACTTTTATTATTTTGAGATATGTTCTGTCGATACCTAGCTTATTGAGAGTTTTTAGCATAAAGGGCTGTTGAATTTTGTTGAAGGCCTTCTCTGCATCTATTGAGATAATCATGTGGTTTTTGTCTTTGGTTCTGTTATTTGGTGAATTACGTTTATAGACTTGTGTATGTTGAACCAGGCTTGCATCCCCAAGATGAAGCCTACTTGATCGTGATGGATAAGCCTTTTGATGTGCTGTTGCAATTGGTTTGCCAGTATTTTATTGAAGATTTATGCTTCTATGTTCATCATGGATATTGGCCAGAAGTTTTCTTTTCTTGTTGAGTCTCTGCCGGGTTTTGGTATCAGGATGATGTTTGTCTCATAAAAAGATTTGGGGAGGATTCCCTCTTTTTGGATTGTTTGGAATAGTTTCAGAAGGAGTGGTACTAGCTCCTCTTTGTATGTGTGGTAGAATTCAGCTGTGAACCCATCTGGACCTGGGCTTTTTGGTTGGTAAGCTATTAATTGCTGCCTCAACTTCAGCCCTTTTTATTGGTCTATTCAGGATTTCAACTTCTTCCTGGTTTAGGCTTGGGAGGGTGTAAGTGTCCAGGAATTTATCCATTTCTTCCAGGTTTACTGGTTTATACGCACAGAGTTGTTTGTAGTAATCTCTGATGGTGGTTTGTATTTCTATGAAATCTGTGGTGATATCCCCTTTATTGTTTTTTATTGCATCTATTTGATTATTCCCTGTTTTCTATTTTATTAATCTGGCTAGTGGTGTGTCTATTTTGTGATCTTTTCAAAAAACCAGCTCCTGGATTTATTGATTTTCTTGAAGGTTTTTTTGGTCTCTATCTCCTTCAGTTCTGCTCTGATCTTAGTTATTTCTTGTCTCTTGCTAGCTTTTGAGTTTTTTTGATCTTGCTCCTCTAGCTCTTTCAATTTTGATGATAGGGTATCGATTTTAGATCGTTCCTTGCTTCTCATGTGGGCATTTAGTGCTATAAATTTTCCTCTAGACACCACTTTAAATGTGTCCCAGAGATTCGGGTATGTTGTTTATTTCTGCCTTCATTTCATTGTTTACCCAGTCAACATTCAAGAGCCAGTTGTTCAGTTTCCATGAAGTTGTGCAGTTCTGAGTTAGTTTCTGAATTCTGAGTTCTAATTTGATTGCACTGTGGTCTGAGAGACTGTTTGTTATGATTTCCGTTCTTTTGCATTTGCTGAGGAGTGATTTACTTCCAATTATGCGGTCAATTTTACAGTAGGTGTGATGTGGTGCTGAGAAGAATGTATATTCTGTGGATTTGGGGTGGAGAGTTCTGTAAATGTCTATTAGGTCTGCTTGGTCCAGGTCTGAGATCAAGTCCTGGATATCCTTGTTATTTTTCTGTCTCGTTGATCTGTCTAATATTGACAGTGGAGTGTTAAAGTCTCCCACTATTATTGTTTGGGAGTCTAAGTCTCTCTGTAGGTCATTAAGAGCTTGCTTTATGTATCTGGGTGCTTCTGTATTGTGTGTGTATATATTTAGGATCGTTAGCTCTTTTTGTTGCATTGATCCTTTTAGCATTATGTAATGCCCTTCTTTGTCTCTTTTGATCTTTGTTGGTTTAAAGTCTATTTTATCATCGATTAGGATTGCAATTCCTGCTTTTTTTTGCTCTCCATTTGCTTGGTAGATCTTCCTCCATTTCTTTATTTTGAGCCTATACGTATCCTTGCGTGTGAGATGGGTTTCCTCGATAGAGCACACCTATAGGTTTTGACTTTTTATCCAATTTGCCAGTCTGTGTCTTTTGATTGGGGCATTTAGCACATTTACATTTAAGGTTAATATTATTATGTGTGAATTTAATCCTGCCATTTTGATGGTAGCTGATTGTTTAGCCCATTAATTGACTCAGTTCCTTCATTGCATTGATGCTCTTTACCAGTTGATACGATTTTGGCGTGGCTGATACTTGTTTTTCCTTTCTATGTTTAGTGCTTCTTTCAGGAGCTCTTGTAAAGCAGTTTTGGTGGTGATGAAATCTCTGAGCAATTGCTTGTTCATAAAGGATTTTATTTCTCCTTTGCTTATGAAGCAAAGGAGTTTGGCTGGATAAGAAATTCTAGGTTGAAAGTTCTTTTCTTTAAGGCTGTTGAATATTGGCCCCCACTCTCTTCTGGCTTGTAGAGTTTCTGTGGAGTGATCTGCTGTGAGTCTGTTGGGCTTCCCTTTGTGGGTAACCTGACCTTTCTCTCTGGCTGGACTTAGCATTTTTTCCTTCATTTCAACCCTGGTGAATCTGGGTTGTGAATTATATGCCTTTGGTTGCTCTTCTTGAGGAATTATTTGTGGTGTTCTCTGTATTTCCTGGACTTGAATGTTAGCCTGCCTTGCTAGGTTGGGGAAGTTCTCCTGGATAATATCCTGAAGAGTGTTTTCCAGCTAGGATTCATTCTCTCTGTCACATTCAGGTACACCTATCAAACATAAATTAGGTGTTTTCACATAATCCCATATTTCTTGGAGGCTTCGTTCATTTATTTTTAATCTTTTTTTTCTCTATTCTTGCCTTCTCATTTTATTTCATTCAGTTGATCTTCAATCTCTGATATCCTTTCTTCTGCTTGGTTGATTCAGCTATTGAAAGTTGGGTATGCTCATGACATTCTCATGTTGTGTTTTTCTGCTCCATCAATTCATTTATATTCCTCTCTAAGCTGTTTATTATCATTAGCATTTCATCAAACCCTTTTTCAAGGTTCTTAGTTTCTTTGCATTGGCTTAGAGCATGATCTTTTAGCTCAGAGAAATTTGTTATTATCCACCTTCTGAAGTCTGTTTCTGTCAACTCATCAGACTCATTCTCCTTCCAGCCTTGCTCCCTTGCTGGTGAGGAGTTGTGATCCCTTGGCGGAGGAGAGGCGTTCTGGTTTTGTGTATTTTCATCCTTTTTGCACTGGGTCCTTCCCATCTTTGTGGATTTATCTACCTGTTGTCTTCGTGGTTGGTGACTTTCAGATGGGGTCTCTGAGTGGACATCCTTTTTGCTGCTGATGAGGTTATTTCTATGTTTCTTAGTTTTCCTTCTAACAGTCAGGACCCCTGCTGCAGGACTGCTGGTGGTCTACTCCAGACCCTGGTTGTCTGGGGATGACCTGCAGCTGTGCAGAACAGTAAGGGTTGCTGTCAGTTGCTTCTTTTGTTATCTTTGTCCCAGAAGGATACCTGCCAGATGTCAGCCTAAGCTCTCTTTTTTGAGGTGGCTCTTTTGTTTTATGGGGGTTGGGGAGCTGCTTGAGGAGACAGTTTGTCCCTTATAGGAGCTCAAGTGCTGAGCTGTGAGCTCCGTTGTTCTGTTCAGAGCTACTGGGCAGGTACATTTAAGTCTCCTGTAGTGGAACTCATAACCGCCTTTTTTTCCCAGGTGCTCTGTCCTGGGAAGGTGGGGCTTTATTTATAAGTTCCTGTCATTCTGCTGCCTTTTTTCAGAGATGCCCTGCCCAGCTAGGAGGTTGCCTAGTCACAGTCTGCCAGTAGAGGCGTTGCTGAGCTGCCATCGTCTCTGCCCAGCTGCTGTGTGAACTTCTTTGCAGTTCTGTTGGTAGGGATATAGTTAGAACTGCCTTGGTAATGGCAGTCTACCTCAGTAATGGCAGACTGTCTCTGTAATGTGGACTGCCTCGGTAATGGTGAACCTTAGTAATGGTAGACTGCCTCAGTAGTGGTGGACTGCCTTGGTAGTGGCAGATGCCCTTCCACCCACAGAGCTGGACCATCTCTGGTTCAGCTGTGCTTGCTGTGAAACTCTCAATCCAGAACGTTTCAGATTGCTGGTCTTTGTGGGGGGTGGGACCAGCTGAGCCAGATCACCTGGCTCCCTGTTTCAGCCCCCTTTTTTCAGTTGAATGGGCGACACTGTCTCTTAAGTGTTCCAGTCGCCAGTTGAAATGGTACCTGGATTTGCCTGAGTTTTTGTGTGGAGACCTGCTGCACTGGCTGAAAACAGCTCCGCTGGAGACTTGTGGCACTTTTCTGCCTGGGAATCTCCTGGTCTGTGGGCAGTAAACATTCGTTTGGAAACACAGTGATCACCCACCCTACGTGTTTTCAATGGGAACTGCAATCCAGAGCGGTTCCTATTTGTCCATCTTGGATCTTCTCTCTCTCTCTCTTTTTTTTTTTAAACATGAGAAGGACAGCGTATCTTAAGGGTGTCTAGCTGCTTAATCACACTATTTCTTTAATGTAGGCTAAGCATATTAGATACATATTAAAGTACAGGGGAAATAAGCTTTCTCAGTTATTTTATGTCTGAAAATATCTCTGTCTTTTCCCAATATTAGGTAGGATTCCTTAGTATTGAATTTCAGATTTAAAATTAATTCCTCCAAATTTGAAGCAGTTGCTGGCTGTCTTCTAGTGTTGAGTGCAATAGATGATGAATCTGATGTCATTGTGGTTCTCATTCCTGTGTAAGAAACCTGTTTTTTGTTGGTTTGTTTTGTCCTTAGGAAGGCCTTGTGGAACTTTTGCTTTGTCTTTGGGATTTTTAGTTTCACAAGGATTTGTTTGTGTCTTCTGTATGGTTTTCACTGGGACTCTCAGTATGAGGACCCAGGTCTTTCTTCAGTTCTAGGAGATATTCTTCAGTAATTTATTTGATTATTTCATCTCCATTTCTTTTTTGTTCTTTCTTTTCAGAACTTTGATGAATGTATGTTCTTGAGAAATTATCTCCTATGTTTCAACTTTAGTTTCATATTTTTGATATCTTTTTGTTTTGATTCTGTAATATGTATAATCTTTTTATATTTATCAAACATATTTCACTTTCCAAGAACACTTAGTTTTCTGTTTCCTTAGTTTTATGGAGGGTGCAATATCTATCATTTCAAATATCACTGGGAATATTAAGTAGTGTTCTTTCACATTGGGTAGATTGGTTTCCTTGCTCATGTTGGTCCTTCTCTTTTGGACTGTTGATGCTCCATAGACACTGTTAATGCTTGATCATTCAGATTTATGGATGAAGAGCAAAGTTGATCAGTAGAGGTAGCTGATATGAATTTTCTTTATCGTTGTGATGTGACACTGATTTTTACAAAAATCTTAAAACAAATTTTTAGAGACAAGGTCTTCTCTGTTGCCAAGGCTGGAGTGCAGTGGTGCAATCACAGCTCACTGTAACTTCAAACTCCTGGGCTTAAGCATCTTTTTGTCTCAGCCTCCCAAATATTTGGGGCTACAGGCATGTGCCACCATGCCTGGCTAATTTTTATTTTATTTTATTGTGGAGATGGGGTCTCACTACATTGCCCAGACTGGTCTCAGACTGCTGGCCTCCAGTGATTCTCCTGCCTCAGTCTCCCAAAGTGTTGAGATTACAGAAATGAGCCATCACACCTGGCCTAAAAAATCTTTTTAAAATTAAAAAATTAACGCATACCAAAATTTAAAAAAACTAAAAGTAAAAAGGATATAGAATAAAAAGTAAATTTTTTTCTTACTGCAAATCACTAATTTCTCAGAAACCCAGCTCAACCACTGTTACTAGTTTCTGTTGTCTTCTAGAATATTTCCAAGTAGATAGAGAAATATTTATTTTCTTATACGTCTGCCTGCCTATCTAAAGCTATCTATCTAAACACATACACATTTTGCAAAAAGTGGCAATGTGCTATATATATATTGTTTTTTACTTTTTTTTTGTGAAACAGTTTATCTTGCAGAGGATTTTGTGTGTGGCTATATTATTATTTATTATAGCTGCAGAGTTTTACATCGAATGGATGTGCTAGAATTTATTGAACCATTCTATTGGAGAAAAGTTAGATACCATCTAATCTTTTATATTACAGACGTTACTGCACCAAATGTCCTAATGCAGACATATATGTCTATGTCCTAATACAGACATATTTGCACATATATTTAAAAGAGAAATATCTGGGTCACAGGGTGTGTATATTTGAAGCATATGTTAAAAAACTGCAATTCATATTATATTTGTTAACTTCTCAAATATGTAATGTACATTTATTAGACAAACAACTTTAATGTACAAGAAATATAGTAAAAATTAAATGTTTTTCAACTCTTCTTTGACTATCAATCTCCTCTGCTGATTTTCTGTCTCAACTGTTGTTATTATGTGTGTGAGTCTGTGTGTGTGTGTGCGTGTGTGTGTGTGTCTGTCTGTCTGTCTGTGTCTGTGTATTTCCTTTTCACGTTAAATTCCTATAGCTGAGTGAAAGCCTTGGGAAGTGTTCCTTTTTAAAAGTGCGTACATATTTTCTGTGAAAGGTTTTCAAATTTGACTACTTTCAAATTGAGCCATTTGAGCCCTCCCAGGAGTGTGCCATGAGAGGGGTCCTGAGAGTTCCTCCCATGCCTCCTTCATTCACTGCAGCTGTTCTGAGCCCCACATTCCGTTGCGATGCCAAGGGTTTTTCCAGGGACACACATTATCCTTACCAATATAAAAAAGAGCAGTTACTTATGGTTTTATAATCTCTACTTCTTCCTTCTAGCGTTGGAATCTATGGCAAATGACAATAATAAAGAAATGACGCTTGGCTTTTTTGGTCCTCTCTTCTGCATTATAGAAGGTAAATAGTGCAGTTATATTTTTGCATGACAACATAAACAGGCCAATGCTTGATGCTGGACAGATTTCTGTACAGAGGATTGTAATTGCTGAAATGCTGTTTGTCTTCCTACCTTTTCATTACTATCCTTTTTGTTCAATTCTAGTGCTTTTTACAAGCTTTCATTTCTCCATCTGCAAATAGTCTTGGTATATCAAGTCTATAATAACACTGATCT